GGAGATGGTGCGATGATGATGGTGATGATTTTATGATGATCAATCACTGGGTTAAAGATGGACAGTCTATACGTAAGACTCAGCTTACGATAGCTGCTTCCGAAAACCGTGCGCGATTCACCTGAACACTTTTTTTTAACTCGAGAGCGATGGAAACGCGGTAAAAAAAAACGAGTGTCGTATGAAGAGACCAGGACGCTGTTAACTGGCTCAGCGCTCGATACGGAATCCAGTGACTGGGTTGACCTTGAATTTAACCTCCAAAATATACGACGCAGCTTCAGTTCCATTGTTCGGTGTCGGTTTTCATTGCCTCCCGGTAGCCCGGTTCTCCGAGTTCGGATGCTACACTTTCGGCGTGCAGTACTATCAACAATCAATACGAAACTAACGATTTAAAATTGGCTCACTACTTGACTAGCCTATTGGTCCCAAGGAAACGATTAACGTACCCCATTCTAGTCGAAATTCTAGTACTACACAATGTTTGTTTTGATTCGCTATGAAAGTTTGACAGATAAAATGAGGGGTTATTGGTTTTTCCTATGTTTCGAGGGGTGAATCGATTAGCTTGGGACCGAAGATAGTACCAGAGCTGAGTCAAAAAGTTGAGCACGTTATTTTGGGACCTTCTAGTCTTAGAGTTACCTCTATGGTACTATTGAGAGATCGGTCCGGTTAGTGAATTAGTCCGGGAGCGTGTTGATAATGTGTCCGTCGCGAGTTTTGGTGGTGATTCGGTGATCGACATTGCCGTGAATCAGCAAGTTTTCCACTTGCAAAACTGCTCGGCTGCTGGTCTCTCGCCAGTGTCGAAGATTGCGTGGAAAAAGCACTAGACGCGAACCTCCTCCCAGATAACAATGGCAATGCAAGAAAATTTGTGTTCGTTAAAGGAAGTATTAATACAAAGGTGCATCACGAAATGAGATGCAAAGCTTAGAGAAAATCAAAATAACGGAACCCATGGATTGGAGGTTCAAATTAACATGGTGAGAACAGTTCAAATACATTTTACAATTAAAAAAAAAAAAAAAAAACAAACTAAATACGTGCCAGGTTTGAAAAGAATATTTTCAAATAGCGTGTATGTAATACCCGGTAATACCAATATCCATTTGATAACGGTGATGCATACATGCGGGGCTTATTGTAAGTGAAAGTAACCTCGAAATGGGCGTGACTCTCCAGACATTCTGGAATGGGTTGCTGGATCTGCAATGGAGCTATCACTTTCTAACTCCCGAACTAAAGCTGTCTACAATGACCATAAATGCGACATTGTAGAGAGAGTTCTTCCATAATAACACTGCCGGCCAGTGGGGGTTAGAGGGAATACACACACACACACACACACATCACAAGGGGTGGTCACTCTACACACTTAATTTGCGCCAACTTTTTTCTCAGTGTGCCTCAGCGGTGCCGCAGCTGTGCCGGCAGTGCCGAGAAGTAATTGAACTGCCTTGTTTGGCAACCGGTATTTTAACAGCGCTTGTTTTTGTTTTGTTTTTCGAAACCTGAGATGACCCGCACACAAAAAAAAAACATTTGCAGATTTAAGAAAAACGTTGGTTAAAATAAGAGTACGCATTAGTTCTTTTTGGTAGAGAGTTCAAAGCTTTCCTTGCAAATGTTTAGTAACATTCACATCAAGAGCTTGGTCATAATTTTATTTTAAAAGGTGCTCCTCTCGTTCAAACTTTTTAAATGTCAAATCCAAAGCATTTCGTGTTTAATGTGAAAATCTGCTTATTTTGTAGGAACAAATAAATACTTTCCAAATAAAAGTGTTGACATTCGAGATAACTGTGATGTACTCTCATAATAAAATGATAACATTTTTGAAATGACATGAATCATTTCATAATTCTGTTGTAAAATGTGATTGTAATAAAAATAAAAGGTTTCAGAAAGATTATATTTTTTGTTTTATTTTTAAATAATGCATTTATACAGGTTATTAACTATACTAATTAAAATATTTCTTAACACGTATGTAGCTTTTACCATTGTTCAGTAGGTAAACATGAATTGGAGGGCCGTCAAAAATATCTGCGTCTAACATGGCAAAATTATCCATTTTTGATCCTACCTCGTAGGACACAAAATGATCTCTGTAACCTACGATCTGATATTCAGCAACAACTAACTGGAATTTGTTATCTGTTATAATGATTGTGTCATGAATTTCGTACAGTTTTACACTCTGTCCATTTGATATTGTTAAAAAATCATGTTTTTGATAAAACGTACCCTTATTACCCTTATATTGTTCAGTAGTCGGAACTTCTCTCCCGTTCGACAGGGTTCAAACAGTTCATTTACATCTGCTATTGAAACTTGTTTCAGGTCTTCATACTCTAGTCCTTTTTCTGAAATAACGAATTTAAGTAAAAAACAGATATTAGGAAAGACCGCGAGAAAGATTGATCAATTAAAATTAAAAATTAAATATCGTTAGAAATTCCGATGAGGATGTTGGTTTGCGTGGACGTGGATTATAGAGTATTCCTCTGTGCCAACATACACTTCAGAAAAACAACAATTAACGTACCTTTCAATAGCACATAAATGCTGTTGCTCAGTTTCCATTCGTCAAGCTGCTCTTTAAGAGGGGAGCTTGGAGAGCAGCTACTAGCCGAGCCACCGTCGTAAGTCCCACTCGATTCGGAATGCTCCGGAAGGTCTGAAGAACACCTAATATTCTGGTTCACTTTTTTCGGAAGCACCTCTTCGACTTCGCATGTTTCGTTTATGTGTTCTAAATAATGAAAGAAACGATAAAAAAATAAGTTAATGGCAACAGTTTTATTGTAATAATATAAACCCGTAAATAAATAATATGAGCCAAGTGTAGATCCGAAGTTTATTCATAATCTCATTGCAGAGAACATAACCTTACAAAATCCAAAACCTAATAACACGAAAATATGTAGGAGTATGATAAAAATTACCTGCATTACAATCCGTTCCTCTTCCGACAGTACCAGCCGCCGAAACTGAAGGTTGCTCTTCCTGCTTCTCGTCTTCGTCCTGCACTTCCTCAATCAGTCCCGCTCTCCCGGTCGCTCTCGTATACATTTACGAACTCTGGTTCTCTACGCATTTCCACTGCTTCCACACTTACTTTAACTATTTAGCTCAGATGCTGCGGAAATGTAATTTACTATATATCAACAATTTTTTTTTATTTCGGAATCTTCACACCTCGCGTGTTTGTGTTGTTATGCGAAATCCAGAACAGTGCATGCAGAATGGATGGTAAAAGACTGACGCATGGAATTGGCATCAATGCCACACTGAAAGTCAACCTATTCTAATTTTAAAAGTTTACACTTTTAATTTTAAATGGAAATCAACCAGATTTCACTTTTGATTTAAATGATATATTCTGGGAATAAGATTTTTCATCTTGATTTACCAAATTTAAGCGAACTTTTAAAAGAAAAGTTCAATATTTTCAAGGACACAATCTTTTTGTTTTGTGTGCGGGAGTACACACTAAGATTATTTTACAGATTTCTGTGAAAGTTTACCGAAATCTTAACAGCTGAACGTTCGGTAAACCATTTTACAGTTTTCCTGTAATTATTCACAGATATCTGTGAAAAATTCACAGATATTTGTGAAAAATTACAGAAAATCTGTGAAACTGTTTACCGAACGTTCAGCTGTTGAGATTTCGGTAAAATTTTACAGATTTCTGTAAAAATTCTAAGTGTGTAGGAAGAACATTTCCGTTCCGAGATACGGACCTTGCGGGTGGAGTTTCACCTAGTACGAGTCAACGTTGAGTAAAGAAAAGTTCCAGGTTTTTCAATAGCGGTTATCATCGTACCACATCGTACGTTGTCGCGAGCGATAAGTAAAGCATAGTGAGGTGTCGTGACATTTTCTCAACCCTTCCCTCCTCTTTGCTTGCCCGTGTGTGCTAGTAAAAAAAGCTCAATTTCAATGCCATGATCATTGAACGGAAACGGTGCCGGCGGTGGCCAGGACGGGCCGCACAACCAGCGCCTCTGTACCGGCCAGGAGATGATCGGGACGGCTACGCTCAGTAGCCGGAACAACAACAACATAAAAAAAATGTTCGAATAGCTGTTCATGGCTTTAAACAAGCGAATTATAAATCTAATTTAAAGCATTTGAAAGTCATCCTATTCTCAAATTGTTGTCCTCTGAGCGCTGTATGTTTTACAGGCAATTTTAAAATAAATATCCTTTATTTGGATGACATTCATATGTATGCTCGTCAGCTGACGACGAATTCAACCATGAAGCAATCATCAGAAATTCGAAAGCATATCGTTAAAGGGTTCGAGCAATACAATAATCATTCGAAGTATTGCTGATATTTTCGTTCAGTGTAATGTTATCAAAAACGGAGGAGCAAAACCACCCAATAGGGGTAGTAAAGTGTGGGAACCCAACGTTGAAAATAATCATATTTACCTACTTTTGGGTACAACTGACTTACTTTTGGGTAGAAAGCTAGTGGAAAATTCCATACAAATTGCACACAGGTAAATGAAAACTACTTTGATCTGCTTTACCTACTTTTGGGTTCCTGCACTATAGTGTCGAGATGAGTGGAAAGAACTTACTTTTGTAACTTTTTTCTTACCGTGCACAATAACAAAAACCATAACGAATGTCATCCTCCCTGTGATTCCGTGCACGCAAACACTGTGAACGCATTCCTCTTCGAAACTCAGCTGATCCAGTTGACACGTGAACGTCGCCATGTGACGTCCATGAACTCCTCCGCAGCGAAGAGAAGTGGGTTCGAATGGAAAGTTTTCGTATTTAATTTAATCTAATCAATCAAAAGTCTACGAAATGCCAGATTTTTTCACTCAACCGCTTCGTCATTCATGATTGCCGGTTCGCATCACCCACAGAAGTCGGGGGCGAATGTTTTGCGATGTGTGTGGGTTCGATGAACATCCCAGAGCTTCATCGCTTCGCACAGTCAATCCGTGAATAGAGTTCAGTGACGATAGGCGTGTATTAGCAGCAGCAGGCGAGCATACGGCGCGTTTCCTCGAGTGTCTGCGCTGCGGGAAAATCTTGCCTACTCTCTCTCATTCGATGTGTGCGATCAGACATTTTGAAAAGCTTGAAGCGAGAAAATTTCTATTTCCACTTTTTTGCGAAGCAATATTCACTGTTTTGTGCTCATATTCGGAGAAAAAATAGACATTTGCAGTGAAGTACGTTGGAATATTGCAAGATTATGGTAAAGTGAAGATAGAATCAGTGGTCTATTGGCGATAAACTTTGGCTGGACTGGATCCAAGCCCAGTATTGATTTTCCATTTTCTCTCGATGGTTTAATTTATGTGCAAAGTTGAAAGTCTCTTCGCATATGGCGATGATAAACTTGATGGAAATTGTTCAATATTGAATTCTTAGGAAATAATTTCTTGGAGAAGACGAATCTTGAACTCGAACAACGCAATAAACGAAGAATTTGGTTCTGTGAAAATAAGTGAATCGGTGATAAGAAAAGTGACATTCTGTCCTGCTATCTCGGTCCCGAAAGTCATACCTCCTGGTACTGTCGACTTTATTCGATTCTGTGTTATAGATGTGTCTCCCTTAAGAGGTTCAGTTTTTCATATTCGCCTCTCTGTGTTATAAAACGCTCTGTTGCTTGTGGGGAAAAGAGGGAGAAAAACATTAAGGGAAATATCGGCTGTAGTGGTGTGAACTAGTGTGTTTTGTTCGACTCAACGACTCATAAGAGCGAACAAGCAGTGATGAATCAAAAACAGCTGTGTATGCAGAAAATAAAGAGTGCTTCTTGGTCGTCGTTGTCGTCGTCTTTGTAGTTGCAGGGTGAAGTCAGTGATAAACAACACATATACGAGAGGTAAGGCATCTACTTGCGGAGATATCGTCTTTGTATAACTAACACCCTTTCAAGTGCGGTGCGGTCACCGCTTCAAGATTTTCATGCTTGTTATACATACAGGAAATGCTCCACGGCAAAATAACGAAGTAGGTAGATACTTAAGTTTCCTTGGTTCTGCGAATCATTTTCGCTTCTTATTTGAGTTATATAAATGAACTTTGGATGCAGTAGACGAAAATAATCCAGGACTACCCATTATGAATAGCCGTCAGTGTTGATTGGCACTTAATGTACATTTAATTACTTGTCATTGATACCTGCGTAGAACTAATAGATATGATTATCCGGTTCAAATCCATATATTCAATTTTGTGTATAGGATTTTTTAAAAAACGCAAACAGTGCGTTAATTTAGTTATGTAGCTTATAATTGGCAAATCCAAGTTGGCACTCGTGGAGAATAGAAGAAGTATGAGAGTGATGATGGTTTCAAAATTTTCCACGAGGAGGTATACAAATGCAATCTTAAAATGCTTTTATTTTGCAAATGGAGCATTTTATTTAATTCTGGTTGCTGCTACAGTTGTAGAAAAGCTAAAATCTATGTCTACACATAAAAATCTGAAAAGAAATTATTTTTTCCATATTATATGTCTATTAAGTAGTCCTTAAGTTTTCTACTAGCGTAGCATCAACCAGATTTAAATAAAATGCTCCATTTGCAAAATAAAAGCATTTTAAGATTGCACTCGTATACCTCACCGTGCAAAATTTTGAAACCATCATCACTTTCATAGTTCTTCTATTCTCCACGAGTGCCAACTTTGATTTGCCAATGGATTAATGTAAGCTTTCAGTTTAAATCTCACCACTACCGACAGGATGGCGCCACCTCCCTATTGAATTTTTTTCCAAAAATATCCATTTTAGAAACAGAAACAAACTAAAATAGCTCAGTAAAAAATTAAGCTACCACTTGTACCAAATATATATCTCATAAAAGGCTCGGATTTCGTAAAAAAATCAACGTTTTTCGATTTTCTGCATACAAAATAAATCGCCATTACTTTATTTTACTAGTGAAATCTGTTGCGAAAATCAACCATGTTGTTAATCTATTAAAAATCACATAGAAATATCGCTTTTAGAAGCGATATCGAGAAAAATATCTGTTAGACAAGTTCGGTAAAAATTAAAGCTATTAAGTGTACAAAAACATTTTTTGATATTGATTCTAATTTTGTGAAAATCAACATTTTCCGGTTGTATAAAAATCGCTTTAACTTTGTTTACTAACGATATCTCTTGCGAAAATCAACCATGTTGGTAATTAACTGATGGAAGACGCTTTTCCAGGTAGTCACATGTAGGAGGCCACCCACCTTGATGCACAGAGAACAAACGTCCAACTTCTGTCAGAAACTTGTGTAAAGATAAGTGGGAACATCGCCGTTACGTGGCGCTAGCATCTCCTGATTTCCTCTATAAATTTTCCACTTTCGACCAATTTGGCGCTAGTATCAATACATTTTCTGTTGAAAATTGCCACTTGGTGCAACCCGCACTTGGTGTCTAGTGTAAATTGTTCAACGCCAGCGCCATCAGATTGTAGAGAAGGGGTTCTAAGTGGGAAAGTCGCCGTTAGTGGCGCTTAAGTCAAATAGGAATCTTTACACTAGTTTTTAGAGAAAATTTGTTCGAACCTCAACGTCCGTTCTCTGTGCCTTGATTGCTTCATTAGGTCAAAAATGGTGCGAACTTTCCTCCCCAATAATGATTTGGCTGATGACTTTTTGTCGGACATAACAGCATAACATGGGTTTAAAAAAAAAATTGTAGTGCCGAATCGATGTTATCCCCCGCGATCTTCCATAAAGCTCGCTTGAGTGTCGCTTTACTTGTCCGTTCGCCTGCGGTTGGAATGTGTGCGGTATACAGTCATGAGCTTAAGAAAGTGTGAAATGAGCTGTATTAATTATTCGGTAGAAATGTATACGGAACTAAAGTCGACGTACACTCTATGTCCATTGGACCAAAGTAGGCTTCGTATATTTGAAAACCCAGAACTCTTGGCCTTTCATTCCTAGGAGCTCCAAGAGGCAAGTCATAATTTAGCTGCAAACTACAGCGTTGGGAGATTCCCCTTTGAACCAGGTGGAAATTCACAGAATGGTGGCGTTTTGACAAGTTCTCGGCAAAATTCAGCGAAAAGCTCGGAGTCAAATTGTGTCCCGTTATCCATAAGGAGCAAGGAGAGTGGACAATCGAATCTTGCAATGCACTCGCGAAGTTTACTCACGGTTGTTGAAGCTGTAGAGCGATCACCAGAAAGAACTTTCTTCGCAGTGTTCCAGCGTAGTCCAAGTGAAGACGTGACCATGGTTGAACTGGAGCTTTAGATGCAGCAGCACAACGTGAACATTTCCGAACGTAGTCAGCATCGATGTTTGGCCAGTAAACATAACTCCTAGCAATCAATTTCATTCTCTGCATTCCTGGGTAACCAACCCGCAACTGCTTCAGAACAGGAGCTTGTAACGATGTAGGAGTGGTGATTCTGTCCATGAACATGTTGCAACCTTTCACCTCCTTACAGCGATTCCCGTCGTTTGTAGAATTGCAGGATCTCTCCGGAAGATTTGTGTGGCCAGCCTTCACGAAATTGTTGAAGAACTGGAGACTGGAGCTTTGTCTCGTGTTGAATTATCTAATGGGTTACTGGCAAAGCTGCAACGGATTCCGCTTGTAGACAACGGACATCTGTTTCGAGCTGCAAGCTGGCGATGACGTAGTCTTCATCTGACTTGGAGTGTTCACCAATCAAACTGTCTGTCGACGTGAGCGCCCATCTCTGGAGTCGATTTACAAAGTGGACTGGAATACCCTTCTTTCCAGCAGCGGCTTGTGATCCGTGTGTAGCGTGAATCAGGGCTAGTCCTTCCTTTTCTCCTTGAGCGTAATTCTTCTCGGCATCCGTGAGAGTTCGGGAAGCATGGTAAACTGCTTTGACAGTACCATTGGGACAACGATGTAGAAAAACCGCACCAACTCCTTTCTGCGAAGCATCAGCAGCGACAATCATCTCCAGGCTTGAATCGTAGTGGGTTAGCAGCAAGTCTGATTGCAGAATTCTCTTGAACTGCTCAAACGACGGTTGACATGCTGGACTCCAGTTCCATACAGTATCCTTTTTGAGTAGAGCATCCAATGGGTGATGGAGTTCATGCATGGACCGCACAAGTCTGCCGTAATAATTGATCCCACCAAGGAATGAGCGAAGTGTTTGGACATCATGGGGTACTGGCATGATGACCAATCGGCTTGACTTTTTCAGGGTCAGGACGAATTCCCCAAGTATTTGATCGATCGATTTGAAAGGTATTTGACTCGATCTTCAAATGGAATCTGTACTCCTGAATGCGATTGAACAGGCGATCCAGCTGCTCGATGTGCTCCTCCTGTGAGCTGCTTACCACAATTATGTCGTCCACCTCCAAACCCGCAATCATGCAGTCAACAAAGGGTTAGAACTCACCAGGTTCTGTCTTGACGATTGAACTGGAAAAGACCCTTGTTCGTGTTAATTGTCAGCATCTATCTATGTGAAAATCTTCTTATCGGCCAGTTTAGCGAAAATATCTTGAGGCAAAGGCAACGGATGGTTATTAGGCTCCAGTTCATTGGTCAGTCCAGTGGAATAGGCTGCATATATCCTCACTCTGCCGTTGGGTTTACGTACAGACACTATCGGAGCTGCCCACTTAGAATAAAAGACCGGTGAGATGATCCCTAGGCTTTGTAAGACGGTCCAATTCGGCTTCAATTTTCTCGGCGGAAGCACACAGTACATTGCATTGAAAGGTAAACACAATCAGTCGTTTTTTGTTTGTCCTGTACTAATTTGTGTTTTTTCACGTTTTCACCGCTGTTTTAACAACTTGACCCACCTCGTCATACGCATCGGCAACCGCTGCATCGGAGAATCTTGGAGTTTTATCGCTTGAGCTGAAATTCGGTACATTATTAGTGATTTTTCGTTTGGCTTCGATTGGACCACTTCAGCGATATGGAGGTAAACAATATCTGTTTCTCATGCGCCAATGAACTGCAGGATGCCGAAGCTATTGTCTGCAATGGCTTTTGTAAGTCTTCGTTTCATTTGAAGTGTGTCAAGCAGACTTCTGCTATCCGTGACATGATCAACAATTCCTCGCAATTGTTTTGGATGTGCAAAGGATGCACTAAAATGATGTCTATCGCTAATTTTCGGCAAACCATATTGTCCACCAACACAGCAATGCAACTTGTCAATGAGGAGCATAACAAAGTGTTGCAAGAGCTTAGGAGTGAAATTGAGCTGAACACAGCAAAGATAAACTCCATCCTACAGCACAACTCAACGTCGGATGCAGAAAAAACGAGTTCTGGCTCAGAGTCCACACGAAAGCAAGAAAAGGCAGACAATTCTGGCAGAGCCGCTCCCCCTGTGAACCATGTCGAAGGAACGAAAGAGATGGATGCTGATGTTGCTGTTCCGCTAGCCGTCTCACAACGAGACACAAAATTCGTTTTGTATTTGTCCGGTTTTGCCCCCCAAGCAACAGTGAATGAAATTGCGGACCTTGTGAAGAAGAACCTTAACACTGATGAGACTATTGACGTTGCGAAGCTGGTTCCAAAAGGTAAAAATCTTTGTGAACTCACCTTTGTCTCGTTCAAAGTCGGCATTGGTCTGCACCTGAAGGATCTGGCTCTTCAAAGTTCGTCGTGGCAGAAGGGAATAGTCTTTCGCGAATTTGACTCCAACCAATCATCAACACGAAAAAACTTTCGTCCATAAATCACATTGCCCAGTGATCCATCGCACTGACGTCACTCCTTCAAACAAACGAGTATCCGATCAATCCCAAACTCACGAATCGACCACAGCTGACAGCCACGCACCCGACTCTCGCACTATACGTTCACTGACTATTTACTATCAGAACGTTAGAGGGCTACGAACCAAAACAAACGAC